AGTTAAGCAGTATTTAGAAATCAAGAGCTATATAAAAATTCCGATCAAAAATATTCAGAAAGTAAAAACATTAGGAACACAATCCAACTTGTGAAAGCTTGTTAGAGACCATTCATTTCATAAGCTTCACTTTTAGCAGTTGAAGTACAGTGGAATACAAAACTGAGGAATTTTGCTTTGAGTTGTAGAGACAGTTGTAATCATTTATTGAAACAATACTTATCCCTATCTCCAACAAGTTATATCTCATGATGATGACAGGGGCCGCCCCACTTTAACAAAAGTTAAAATGGCATCAGCCCAATGCCAGCTAATGCCATGTATGGATCCAGGTATCTGAATTTGTGGATGATAACTAATTGAAAACAACCCCGTCCTTTGCATGTGCTGATATTTAGCTTATCAGAAGACTGATGTGTGTATTTGAGAAGTTAAAATGAATAAATACACATGCCTGCTCACACATATGATCACACAATCCACATGTGCCGCAACACCTAATAAATTAGCTACAGCAAATTACATAAATCTTATATTAATAGGATTCCAGCTGATGTTTTAAAAATAATTTTGATTATTATTGTTGTATTATTTGAGGGGAAAACAAGTATTTTAAGAAAACTGTATAAAATTGTAAAGGTGATATATAAATCTGTGAGCTAAAAATAAATTTGTGTGCTAAAAATTAAAGAAACTGAATGCATAGGTTTTTTAAACTGCTACATGTTTTATCCTTGTCTCAAAGTGAAAAGAGGATTTGGCCCTTCATCTGAACTCTTAAAAGAACAATTTTCCAGGATGAAACTGTTTTCCTTAACAAGGATACCCAGAGGTTTGCAACTGTGAAATTTCAACCAACTGAAGTGAAACGTGCATTGATGGTTCTGCAAAATCTTCTGTGGCATTTTAAGAATGAATGAAGACAGTCTCTCAGAGCCTTTGTTCCACCAAATGAAACACACTACAATACCCGAATAGCAAAGTAGGTTATCTGGCAGCTCACAATGGAAGGGAAATCAATAAACTTCTTGTTGTTGTTACCTTTCTAACACAACCTGAGTCTGGCAAGCATTTGACAAGGAATACCTATGATAAAGCTTGTGGCTAATACTTCTGTCAGTAGTACTGAAGTAAATTTGGAAGCGCAGATATTCATTCATATTCAATCCCCATAACCACCCTTCCCCATAAGGAGCATCCAAAAATGCAAGCAGCTGTACTGATCCATATCATCAAATACAGAGTGGGTTTTTTTGCGAAATCTTAATGACTCTTTCAAGACCAATCCTCCCTGAAATGCATCAAATTATAATAAACTGTTCCTAGGAAAACTCATTTGTCCCCCAACTAGTGAGATTACAGGACCTATCTTGCAGGGGGCAAGGGCAGTAGATGATGTCACAGACCCTGCTACTGGAAAAGTCCTGGGGCTTTGAGTCTGTAAGCCCTGCCTCCACTACAACATTGGGTTCTGAAAAGGTGTGATAGGCTATAAAACTAGTTCACAGTGCATTTCTTTCTCAGGTTCACACTGATTTCCTTTAGCAGTCTGAAGAATAAATGTCTAATGCTGTCAACTCACTACCACCATACCACCCTGAACATACCTGATCTCGACTGAATTTTGGAAACTATACAATGCCAGCTCTGGGTAGTACTTGTATGAGAGGCTTTCAGTTCATACCACAGAATCTCTAGTAGAACTCAGAAAAATCCTTCCTGAAACTCTGAGTTGCCAGACCAACGTCTGACAGAGTAGAAGGCAGCTTCTCATGAACTAACAAATGCCGTGATCCAGCAATTTATCCCCTCTGTTTAACAAAACTTCTGTTGAACCTACTAATTTCCACACGAATCAATTCTATTTATGCAAGTCAGCCAGAATTTTGGCCCTAGCTTGTCAATACATAAGAGAATATGCTTCTCTAGACAAAACCATAAAGATAATGCTGTAGACTGGCCGGCAGCCATACAGATATTCCATATGGATGAGAGGCTGAAGCTTGTCTTTTAAAACAACATTCAGCTTAATATGCAAGTCTTATAGGTTCTGATGATAAGGCCACAAACAAGATAATGCTCGTAGTAGCAAGTTTCCAATGCTATTCATTTCAACTGTTCCAAGAAAAGAATGGACTTCTTGCTCACTGACCCTGACAACTATGTGTCAAAATAATCTCAAGTTTGTTTGTCTTAACATTTGCCTTTAAACTGTGCACAAGTCAAAATAATGTGGTAGAGATTAGCACCTTGCCCAGTATCTGGGGGAAACAGCCACATCTTCTTGAAATCAAGTTAATTCATAATTTGAAATAAGATCTAAAATTACAGACAAAAGGCTTTTTTAAAAAGTCTTACATAGAAACACATAACACATTCCTACATCAAGTAATAAAACTTAACGGAATATAGTTTTAAAGCTATAAATTGCATAATTATGAAACTCTAATCTTTAAAATATAGCCCACAATATACAGAATGGAATATGCCACCACAGAGTAATTCAGAATTATAACACCATTGTCCAATGCACAATGAAACCTTTTCCAGACCTTCCTGTTCACATAAAGTGTTTTCCTTAAACAGCCTTGTGGCACAGTGGTTAAACAGCTGTACTGCAGTGAAAACTCTACTCATGACCTGGTTCGATCCCAGCAGATTCAGGTAACTGGCTCAAGGTTGACCCAACCTTCCAAGGTTGGTAAAATGGGGGAGGGAGGGGGCATCAGTAGACTGCATAATTAAATTCTAAACTGTCCAGAAAGTCCCAACCTTCCAAGGTTGGTAAAATGAGTACACGGGGGAGGGAGGGGGCATCAGTAGCCTGCATAATTAAATTAAATTCCAGAAAGTGCTTTAAGCACTATGGGGCGGTATATAATCAGATAAACAGAAGCAAATATGGAGTACAGAGCTAGATGTGGTACCCACCAGGCCACTGGGGCCAGTGCACATAGCTGTTTTAAGCACTATGGGACGGTATATAAGCAGATAAACAGAAGAAAATATGGAAAGGACAGGAGTAGCGAGCCAGATGTGGTACCCATCAGGCCATTCGGGCAAGTGCACATAGCTGCATACCCCATATGTGCAGACACAAAGTATAAACAGAGCTTTAGTAATTTCATGGTACATTAGTAAGGCACTAACTTGGAAGCTTCTCAATCACTGGATAACGACTTATAACACCAGCTCCCTACTTGGTTTCAGGTCAGGTCTGAGGCCTCCTAAAATACACAGTCCTAAGTAACTCACTGGCTAAGTATCCAGTATCAACCTCAATTTTTTTGCAATTTCCTCAATTTCATGAGTCTTTGCTACAGCAGCATGTTTACACAGAGCATGTAGGAAGTAAAGTTAATTCATTTACCTATTTATTTGTTACTGGCTGGTTAGCTCTGTGAGTAGAGGTTGAGAGTTTGATTTCCCCAGAGCGTGTCCCAGGAAAACAGGAAGCCTGTGTAACCTTTGGCAAGCTGTACAGTCCCAGAGGGACCCCAGAAGAAGGGAATGCTAAGCCACTTTGGAGTACTCTACACATATGAAACCCTGAAAAGGGTTAGAATGGGGCCCATTATTGCTATTCCTTGTTGCTGCTATGTGCCATCAAGTCATTTACAACTCATAGTGACTAGAGATGGGTATGAACCTCCATTTCAGCAATTCGTGCTGGTTCATTTTTGGATGAACTCTCTTCCCGGCTCTGCCTCCTCTTGTGGGATGCCCGCTCAGAGGCAGTGCCCGGAGAAGGTGGTGTAGGCAAGCTGAGATGCTACCTCTGAGTGGCCGCCCACTGGAGGAAGCAGAGCTGGGAAGCCCCAAGCACCTGTTCATCCGAAGGACTAACTGGCATGAATCACCAAAGCAGAAGTTTGTGCTCATCTCTAATGGTGACGCTTGTAAGATTAGTGAGGTGTCTGTTTAACTAGTAGTTTACTACAGCCACACACATACCCCAGTAATTTTCCATAGCTTTTTTTATTAGTTACATTTCTGTCTCCCTTCTAGTGAACTAAAGAGATATGGCATGCCTCTCTCCATTTTATCCTTACAACCAATGACATAGATCAAGCTGAGGGACTATGACTGGCCAAAGGACACTCACTAAGTCCTCAGTCAAGGCTTATATCTGGGTTTTTACAACCCGGTTTCAGCACATCAACCATTACATCATGTCGGATGCCAGTGCATATCAACTGCAAACTGATCAGTGCTGGCCGGTGGAGGACACAGCCGCACTCCACCTCACCACCTCAAGGTGAGCTGTACACCCACAGCTCAGACCATTACCACCCCTGAATTTCATTGCAATGACTTCCAAATGGAAATGTTGCCTTTGAGAGAGCATACGCCCATCTTCTTCTCTATCTCTGGCTACTCCTACACCAGAACTGCTGGATAGCTTGGTATAGGGGCTGGATCCAGCTCTGCAATGCTAAGATTACTTATGCCTCTATAAGAGCTCCTTAATATGCTACGTGTGGAAACAGCAGCTGCTCCAAGCAAAGGAACACCATGTTGCAGAATGAGTGCATTTTAGATCTTGTCACAGTGCTGCTACCGAGAGCAAAACTTGGCACAGGGGTCACTATGTCTTATCCTAATTATTTGGTCTGTACAGTGAGCACCATAATTGGACTTTGATGGTCTTGATAAAAGCTCATTCTGATTGACCTGCTCGTCTTTTACTTATGCAAATATCTGAGAAAGCCGCTTCTAACTCAAAATAAAGAAATGGCAGAAGGACCCACCCAATAAGAGAGTAGTTCAGACATTTATCAGCAGCTATAATGCCAAACTATACACCAGGACTGGGGAAGGACCCACCCAATAAGAGAGTAGTTCACACGTTTATAATGCCAAACTATACACCAGGACTGGACAAACTGTGCCCCTCCCCCATATCTCCCCATTTTCTTTCTCCCCACATTCCACTTTTCTTTTTATGATGTAAAACACTTTCCATATCTTCGAAAAGTCTTTCTCCCCACATTCCACTTTTCTTTTTCTTTATGATGTAAAACACTTTCCATATCTTTGAAAAAGGAATAGTTTTAATAGCTCCCCAACACCACCACAATTTTAGGCCTTTGGAAGCTTTTTTCATAAACCAAAATGACTGAAAGTCATACATTTGCGGGAGGGGAGCACAGAAGTCCATTTGCCCTCTGGGTCCGGAAGCACATGTGGTCCCTGGCTCCTAGGCATTACCACCCTGCTATACCCAGTACTGACTGTGTTTTAAGGCTGGGTTGGTGGTACGGCAACGTTGGATCATTTCTCGGTCAGGTTTGGACCAGGTGTTTTGTAGAAGACCTTCTGGAACTCGAGGAACCAGAGCTGAAGCAACAGGCACAAGGTGAAACTGTTCCCGTCTGAGAGCCATGAATGGGAAGGCAGTTGTTTTGCCCGCAGCTTTCGCAAGGGGTGTCACTGTGACCATAGGAACAGTTACGCTCCTCTCTGGAGAAAAGCTTGGGCTGCTGGGAGTCGTTGGTGTCTGTTCTACAATGAGAGATTGGGCTTTCTTTGGCTTGTGACACATCAGGAAGACACAAATAGCGATGGCAGTTATAATGATTAAAGCAGCCACAGAGGAAATTGGTATAATGATGAACAGCCAGTTACTGTTACGCAGGCTCCGATCCCAACTGCTTCTGGAACTCATTTTTATCGTAGTTTCGGCCCATGCAGATCTGCCTCTTGCAATTTTCTCATTCAACATCATTTCTCTGTCATTCTGATGCACCCAGTGATTTTGGTTGTGCCAGTGGGTCTGTGCTGGTGTTTCAGTGTAGGGGTATCTCTCTGGAGGAAAAAGAGGTTCATCTGTTGCAACGGTAGAACTTTTTAAAACATTTGCACTGCTTATGAGGGGTACTTCAGAAGGAAATATCTGGCCGAATGAAGGTTCATGTGGCACTATGACATAGTAAAATTGACCTACAGCAGGCTGCACGCCTTCTGCTCTGAGAATAAATGTGAAGGAATCATTCAGTAGGTCAACGGATGTCATATTGGCATCTGCTTCAAGAAACACAGCACCATTGTCAAGGTCGCTCTGTGTGAACACATTTAATCTTTCACTTTTATCAAAGCTTAAGGGCGTCTGGAAGAGTCTTCCATACACTGGAGGTACAATCACTTCAAATGTAGGGTTGCTGTTCGTTAGGTTTGCCAACTCGGTCGCATTCAAGTCCCTGCCTTTCAGTTTGTAAGCCACTCTATTTGGAATGCTCACATTGAGTCCCATTTGCACAAGTGGTTCCACTGTGATATTCATAACCTGTCCGGTTAGGTTACTGTCCAACGTGAACACTACAAACTCCACTGTATCTCCAACCCCAGTGAGGTCTGTCATACAATACCACAGCCTTCCTCCATCTACGTCTGCTTGTCGAAATCTAGTTACCGGTTCACTGCCAATTATTAAACTCCCATATTTGAGGGGTTGTGTTACTTCAAATTCAATCACAGCGTTTTTCCCATTTGTTGTTGCTGAAAGCTGTGCATTTGTAACAGCAACTGTGCTCTGTCCCTGCGGAAGTATTACTCCTGTCAGGTTGACCAAGGTGACAGAAGTGGGTGTCACTTCAAGGCTAAAGACTTTGTACAGTGGACGGTGTTTTCCATCTGTCACACTGAAGTAAAAAATTCCAGACAAAGCACTTCCATCTTGTACAAACCAGACTCTGCCATCATCAACATCAGCCTGAGTAAACTCTTTGATGGGCTCACCGAGATGAGTTCCTAGTGTGAAGAAACCATTTTGAGGATCATTTATAATAGTGTATTTGATGTCTTCAGGCATGTTATCTAAGTCTTCTACTTTCAAATTTTCTGGTCCTAGAACTACAGTATCTCCTTGTAAAACAGTCAAATGGAGCGCCTTTGTCTTTAATTCTGGGGGCTGGTCATTCACTGGTACTACAGTGATATTAAATGACTCCTCTAAAACACCAGAATCGGGTTTTGTTGAAGACTTGCTCTTCTGGTTTAACCACACAGCAAAAAGAAACTGATCAGTGAGTGATTCAGAGTCATCATGCACATAGGTGATTCCGTATTTGTTAATGATGTATTGAGAAAAATTAGGCTTCTCTGTTGTAATATTCCTTTCTCCCACAACAATTCTCCCATGCTGGGGTAAACAGATGACTTGAAACCATACTTCAAAGGCAGAACGCTGTGCCTCAGGCAATTTCAAGAGCAAATTTGAACCATCTAGGTTAGTTTTGTCAATTACAACTTTGCCTCCTTCCTGGACAACAGCACCTGACAAAAACAAACAAACAAACAAGGAAGCCCAAGGTATTATAAAGGAATTAACTGTCACAAACAACAGGCCACGATTCAGGAAAAAAAATCAGAGGACTGATCCAAGATATTTCACTGCCTGGGGTAAACAACAAGCTGTTGCCCCATTACATATTCAGATGTTGATTATATTCGTAGCTGAATCTCGCTTCAGCACTGGCAATGGAAAATATTTCCTTGGGTACCTGAGAGCAGCCAGCTAGGGCAAGAGACACAGAGGGGGCTAGCTACAGTGACTCAGAGAGAACAGTAAGAAGGGTGGCAGCTGCTTCCCCTCCAGTATGTGCTGCCTGTGGCAACTAACTCACTCTCCCTAAAGGTAGGGCTAGCTGTAGGAGATGGAGGACATAATTCTGTAAGAAGGAGAGGACCAGAGCCTTCGCCCTGGAGTTCTATTTATCCAGGGCAGGATCTGTGGGTTTCTAGGCACGTTGGAAGTGGGTTAACTTGTACAGTGTTTTCCGAATTGAAACCAGAAAAAAAGGATAAAGGTGGGGGCGAAAACACAGCAAACCTTGTTGCAGGAAATGCAGGGAAAGACATTTATGAAAACACCTGCTTCACCACTGGAATTAGGGAGAGGCCAACTCTTTTTCTATGTTTGTATAAAGAAGTTGCAACTGAAAAATAAAGAACACAGATGATATGTTGTATGGGGGCAGGAATAAATGTGGAACTGGACTAGGGAAAGGTAGATTCCAACCCCTGCACAGTTCTAAAATGCCCCTGACAGGTCACTCCCAGGCTGCATAAATGACCTCACAGGGTTGTGAGTATTAAAAGGAATAATAACAGATGGAACTCCTTTGAGAAATGGTGGGGTACAAATATAACAGGAAAACATCTATCTGCCTTACCTGTGTTTGCAAGCAGCTGGCTGCTTCGATCATGCCCTTTAATTCCATATGATATATTAATGTGAAACACCTGAGGACCCAAAAAGGCTGGCAGAGAGGATATAGAAAAGGTAAAATAATCCTGAGTGTCCCAATCTACTGTTTCCTTATTTGCATGTTCATAAATCACCATCTCTTCATCCACCTGTCCAAAGGAGAAGAGAAATGAACACTCATGTTTCAGTTTAATGAGTTTCAGCTTAATCTTTGGCCTGTAGAAAAGAATTACTTCATACACAGAATCTGGCCAAAGCTCAGGGTTAAAACCCATAATCCTACAAAAGTGTTGTGGTAACTGAACTCCATGACCACAGAAACCTTAAATTGGTGTGTGATTCAAGAGATTTAAGCTCAAAATAGTTAACACATTCACTGATTCACAGAGATGATCACATCGGATATGAAGATCAATTCAAACGGTGCTTTAATAAGTAGCATAAGAACATATTTTAATATAGAATCCTGAAGTTATTAACATATTAATGACAAAGGACAAGGAAACGTATTTTGGATATTCACTGTGTGGCTTCATCTTCTGCTTTAAGCTTTGAAATGTTTATAAACCATTACAGGATTAACAACCAGGAACTGCAATGCATGTGAAAAATTCTTTCTGCTTCCTGCAATAGGATTCTGCAAAGGTGATATAAGAGGAAATAAACGGCAGATGATTATAAGAGATGATGGTGAGGAAGAAAACTGTGTTTGAATTCAATGTAGAAACAACAATAATAATTAGAGAGAAGCCCAGAAAGAAAGAACAAGAAACTGGGCCTTCTCGGCAGTGGCCCCTTGGCTATGGACCAGTCTCCCAACAGAAATCCGTCACTGGGTGTTTTTAAAAGCCATTTAAAAACTTGGCTCTTTAGGCAGGCCTTCCCTCCAGTCAATACCTGTTCTTTAGTCTTTCTTTTAAATTATTTCATCTTGGCAATGATCTAAAATAAGTTAAAATTACAACGTTTTAAATGATTTTTTAGGATATTTGTTATATTATGATGTTTTATCATGTGTGTAAGCCGCCCCGAGTAGATTTTGTCGGGGGGGGGGCGCTGGGTAAAAATCTAAGAAAGTAAGTAAAGTAAATTACTGTAGCATTTATATTGTGCTTTAGAATATTTAAAGCACATTATATACATTGGCCCAGTTTGGATGTATGTATCTTGCATTAATAAACCAAGATAGGCTTCAGGCTGTGCTTCTACGTTTCCATTTCCCCCGCCTTTCTCAACTCGCAATTTAGCACATCTTGGGAGAATACTTCCCAGCCATCTTTAGCACAACAGACGAGTCTTCCCTTTTTTCTTCTCCTCCCTGTAGCCCTCTGTGCACTCCCCAAAGCTGTTCTGGGGAATTTCGCAGCCCTGCAGAGCTGGTGCTAAGCACACACTGGTGAAGGCAGTGGAAACAGGAATTGCTTTCCTTTTCATTGTGCTATCAGAAACAGTTCCAGCAGTGGAATAACCATCTTGGATCCCGCTTTATTCCCAGATTAGGACATCATAATTATTTATTTATTTAAAGTATTTTAGCCCTGCCTTCCTCCTTCAAAAGGACCCAAGGCGGCTTGCTTGGCTCTTTAGGCAGGCCTTCCCTCCAGTCAATACCTGTTCTTTAGTCTTTCTTTTAAATTATTTCATCTTGGCAATGATCTAAAATAAGTTAAAATTACAACGTTTTAAATGATTTTTTAGGATATTTGTTATATTATGATGTTTTATCATGTGTGTAAGCCGCCCCGAGTAGATTTTGTCGGGGGGGGGGCGCTGGGTAAAAATCTAAGAAAGTAAGTAAAGTAAATTACTGTAGCATTTATATTGTGCTTTAGAATATTTAAAGCACATTATATACATTGGCCCAGTTTGGATGTATGTATCTTGCATTAATAAACCAAGATAGGCTTCAGGCTGTGCTTCTACGTTTCGATTTCCCCCCCCCCCTTACTCAACTCGCAATTTAGCACATCTTGGGAGAATACTTCCCAGCCATCTTTAGCACAACAGACGAGTCTTCCCTTCTTTTCTTCTCCTCCCTGTAGCCCTCTGTGCACTCCCCAAAGCTGTTCTGGGGAATTTCACAGCCCTGCAGAACTGGTGCTGAGCACACACTGGTGAAGGCAGTGGAAATAGGAATTGCTTTCCTTTTCATTCTGCTATCAGAAACAGTTCCAGCAGGGGAATAACCATCTTGGATCCTGTTTTATTCCCAGATTAGGACATCATAATATTTATTTATTTATCTAAAATATTTTAGCCCTGCCTTTCTCCTTCAAAAGGACCCAAGGCGGCTTACATAATTAAAAAGACAATAGTTAAAAATTAAAACCATACGTATACAAATATCTGAAAAGAACGTTAAGCGAGGCACCACTGTATCTGAAAAGAATCAAACAAGTATTATACTTTAAATGGTAAATAAAATCAATACTAAAACATATTCAAAACAACAGAACACAACAGTCCATTTAAAAATCCTCTCAGACCACCAATCATTAAAGAAAAGCTTGCCTGAAGGGAAAGGTCACATGAATGTGAATGATTACACACTGAGAGTAATATGACGTAACCATGCTGTTATCTCAATTACCCTCACAACAACCTTGCATTCATAGAAGGCTGAAATGCTCAGGCAAATTATGAATAAATACTTTTTGATCAAAGGTCAAGTCACGCAGTCAGCAGACCTATAATGCCTTTATAGCTATGTTTAATACAACCACCTATAAAAAAGCAGGGGTGGTGGTAACCTTGTGAGAACGACAGTAGATGCTCTTTTTTAAAAGTGCACACCTTAACGCTTAAGCAAAGTATGGTTATATGTTCAGAATACAAATCTACTTTGATATATCTGCTAAGATGTTTCCGTGATCCTCCACTCCTGCCTCTTTCTTAGGTTAGTAAATGTTGACACAAGCCAAACCCACTCTTTATATTGTGTGTACAGCATGCTGTATAATGTTGCCCATGGCAAACCCTTGCACATACTTCTCAAAGGCAAAGTGTAAGAACTTTTATCCTTACATTCTGTCATATTCCCTTGCAAGAAGCTTGAGGAAGAAAGAATAAACCATGAAGTTACATTGTGTAATAAAGGCAAGTTACCAACGCCCATAGTAAAACGGGCTCTTACCATTGATTGTGTAAAACTTGAAATATCCTGTGTTCTGTTCTCAGAGAGAACACTGATGAGTCTTCCAAGGTTTGGAGACTTTGTAACTGTAAAAAATATTGTTCTGTTTCCGTTCTCAATCACATCATTGGTGGTGGCTTTCAGATTATGGGAAGTAATTATCTTTCTAGAACCTGAGTAATAATGATAAGAGGACAGAGTTGCATTAACGTCACGATGACCCAAGTGGACACATTTGTTCTCCTGCCTTCTTCATTCTGACCCTAAGGATATCGTTGCTTAACTTGTACCACCATATTCAGGTCATTCATTTGCTGTACATACAATGTTAAACATTTTCGTTCAAAGATAATTTCCACTGCAAGCAGTGGGACTTGTTCTCTAATAAATATATGTAAGATCACAGCATTAAGCACTTTAAAGTAAAAGTATGCACAAAGAACAGAAGGGCTGTAAAACACTGAACTGCCACTACATACCACAACCAGCAGTATTCTCATACAAAAGTAAAAGTTAATTGTTGTGCCTGTCTACATCTATAACACAAAAGTGAACCTAAGAAAATGAGGTTTGTACATTGACATATTCCTTTGCAAGTGTGGAGAAAGCAGGCAAATTCATACCTACAGCAGATAGTCTATGCCCCTCAATATGTACCACAGAAGACTTGCAGTTATCTGTCAGACTGTTCTTAATGTTGCCCATTATTGGGCAAAAAACATCAGATATTTTTATTAATTGTACTGTAGTGGTTCTGACATGAACAAAGAAAGACAAAGTCATGTGAAAAAGAAAGATCTCACTCTTTGAATTCTGTTTTTATGCATCAGGACAGAATAAAATCATCTAGTCCTTCACAGGTCTGACAATTAGGTAAATGCAAATTCAGATGAACAACAACACGTGATATATTACGCCATGTCGTGATTTATTTTATAGAATTTGAGCACAGATCTTGACAATTTAACAGCAAGATAACAGGCACTAACAGCACTGTCGTCATTTAGAATATCCTGTGCTATCAGAACGGGACCATGACCTTTTGTAGGTAGAAAAAAATATGTAATGCAAATTATTGTGGATCTAGCACTGAGCACTGAGTTTTAACAGTGTCAGCATTACTGTGGTTTTTATGGATCTTATGATCAGAGCACAAACCTAGGGCAATCCATTTTTAGAAGGAATACTCCCTCAAGTGGTGAAAAAGGCATAATTGTGAGAATGCATTTAAAGAAGTAATAAGTGTGTGGTGATTATCCCTGGAATGTAAACAGCAGCTTCCTTTTCAAACCTTATTCCAGAGTCATGCATAAGAAAACAGTGCAAAGGTTTTGTTGATCACAAACAATAAACAGCTCAAAATAGTTCAACACATCAACAAACTTTGCTGGGGAGAAAAGACTAATAGCACAAAAGCTGCATTTCTCTAAGCATGTGATTTGGCCGTTAGGGCTCTTGTGTGCTACAGAAGGTTTTACTGCGCAACTAACTCTTCTCATTCAGAAATGTTTCCACTTGTAGCTCTCCTATGTTTTTCAACATTTCCCCCCTCTCCACAAAAAATACCAATTCAGGAGGAAATGATGGAATAGGTATGCAATACTTTCTGAACGGTATATTGGGAGCCATCCATTTTGATATACCCTATCAGGGCTGACCCTCCCATTGTTCAGAATGAAGTGGCCACATTAGGCATCAGATGTCAGGTGGTTATGGAAGGGCAGCAAAAGGCGGTTAAATAATCTGTGGTTGTTGGAATTTTACCACCTTGGTCAGGTATTAGTAGGACATTTTGCCTCAAATCTCCAAAATTCGCAAATGAGTATTTGTGAAAGGGTGTCATCTCAGACAGCTAGGCCTTCAGAACAGTCCATGGCTGACATTCAAAGAACCCTCTGTGAACATCTGAGGAAGTCCTGTCCGCATGGAGAATGTGTCAGGTTCACCTTCTGCCTGTATCACACGGAATCACAGAGTGATGTGATTGCCTTACACCTCACTGAATCACCGAGAGAGGTGAATGCCTCAGGGCAGCAAATTCACAATTATTTGTTACTGTATTTCTTCTATCAGGATTGGGTGGAGATGTCTGTGGCATCTTCTTCTTCCATTGATCTGGTCTTACACTACATCTTACACTACACACCTAGAAGAAGGTGGCAAGTGCCATTTACAGATCTGCCGCAGGTAGCAAAGTATCTTGGGCCAGTCCTGCATGCCATACTTCCATTGCCACTAAGGGTAGACAGCTCCGCATTTTACCTGCGCAACCCAGATCAATAGCTCCAGTAGAAAATTTCATGCAGACTTGATGATGAGCTATTGTTTCAATAATTCTGAATAAGATTTTCCTTTTTTAACGAAGACCACAAGAAAGCCCAAAGAGTTCAAGGAAACCAGTGGGCCAGTCTAATTATCAGAAATCACGCAAGAAAGTTCTGCCTCAAAGGGAAAGAAAACATCTCAGCTGTTATTGCAGGCCTTGCGGGCCTCAGAGAAAAATTACTTCTTTAATGTGGGATAGCTGGCAAGAAGCACAACTCCTCCTCTATCAAGAACGCACTGGATATTGTTTGCTTATAATTATCTTTGACTTATTGTTTAAAAAAACTCCTTTAAAAGAACGTTCCCAAAGCTATCTTGCACAGCAGTCTGGACAAAAAAAATCCATCACATGAGGAGCACATTACTCAGATTGAATAATTGCTCTCTTCCTTTTTCTGTTAAATAATCTCACCATAGTTAGTACTGTGCGTATTTTGGAACCATACTAAAATCCAGATGCTAGAAACATGTGTTTTTTATGTGCCAATCAATTTTTCATACATCTCTTGTGTCAAATTTTTATGATCTGTAACAGTCAAGCCCAAGGCATTTTCAAGATAAAGAAACGAGATGGAGCACCAAGCTTTTTCATACTGGGGACGTGACCAACACTCTTGTTGCAGAATAGGGGTTGTTTCTCAGTAGTGTTTCAAATCTTGCCATGCAACTCCCAGGAAAATTTCCCAGATGCCCACAAAATCCAAACTCCAGACTCATTTTTCCTCTTTATTTTTGTTAGTTTGTTCCTGTTGGGCTCAAGAGACGGCAAAACTCTGCACAGCTTCATGACTTTTTCTGTTGAACCATGCACAGGAAAGGCGCCATTCTACACAGAAACGTTATAATCTCATACAACTTGGTATGTCTTTCAGAAAAAATGACCACAAAACTTGCAAGAAATTCCACATGATTTTCAATGAGATTTCCTGGATGGTAAAATAATCTCATGCAGAGAAATCCTGCTGCCCGAAGAAAATATGGAATTTTCCTCAGTTCTTCTCCACAAGTAAGAAGCAGTAAAATTCGCATCCCTGCTTCTTGTACAAAAGCAAACTGAACTGGCAGATGCACCTATTCTCAACATTAATCATGCAACAACATCCTCCTGCCCCGGACGTTAATTTAGAGGGCAGAGAATGAACTGGCAGATGCACCTATTCTCAACATTAATCATGCTAACGTAGAGGGCACAGAGCAGGCTGCACAGCACCTAGCTTTCTCCTCCCAATAGTTTTCTACTGCCTGCCAGCAATTCCTGTCTCAGGCAAATGTACTGTACAACTCTGCCTAATAATAGGGCCAGCCCCAATAATAGAAAAGGATCCATTGCTTCTTAGCAGAGTACGCGATGCACCTATTCTCAACATTAATCATGCTAACGTAGAGGGCACAGAGCAGGCTGCACAGCACCTAGCTTTCTCCTCCCAATAGTTTTCTACTGCCTGCCAGCAATTCCTGTCTCAGGCAAATGTACTGTACAACTCTGCCTAATAATAGGGCCAGCCCCAATAATAGAAAAGGATCCATTGCTTCTTAGCAGAGTACGCCTCTCAAAATGGAACTATCAACCATGCTACCCACAATCCAAGCCTCTTTACAGTGGTGCCTTGCAAGACGATGTTAATTCGTTCCGCAAAAATCGGTGTGTTGCGCAAGACGATTTTAATTCGTTCCGCAAAAATCAGTGTCTTGAGAAAACATCATCTTGCGAAACACGGTTCCCCATTGGAATGAACTGAATTTATTTAATGTGTTCCAATGGGAAAAAAATCGTCATCTTGTGAAAATTATCCATAGAAACATCGTCTTGCGAAATGTGATTCCCCATCGGAATGCATTGAAATATATTTAATGCGTTCCAATGGGGGCAAAAAAACCATCTTGTGAAGCATCGGTCTTAAAAAAAGCCCAAACGTCTTGTGAAACGCAGTTCCCCATTGGAATGCATTGAAATCTATTTAATGCGTTCCAGTGGGGGAAAAACATCTTGTGAAGCATCAATCTTTACATTGGAATGCATTGAAATCTATATAATGCATTCCAATGTGGGAAAAACATCTTGCGAAGCATCGATCTTTAAAAAAAACGTCTTGCGAAGCATAGACACAAACATCGTCTTGTGAAAATCGTCCATAGGAAAAACCGTCTTGCGAAGCGCAACAGCGATCGCAAAAACCCATCGTCTTGCAGATGAATCGTCCCGCGAGGCAATCGTCTTCCGAGGCAACACTGTACTTGGAAAGAAGCACTACTTGCTCTGAATGAATAGTCCGTTATATTACCATAATTGCTACTGGCCAAGAGTCAAATAAACTAGACCATGAGAACTCCATCTTGATGAGACACAAACAATCTTTCTTCCCTCACAAAAGAACAAGTAGATACTGAACAGATAATCTATTCTACATTTGATCTGTTCAGAAGTCAGATAATTTCTTTAAATGTTATCTCCCAAAGGTCTCTAATCAATATGGCTGCTCAGTGCTCTTAATCAAGGTAACCCAGAGCTCTTCCAAGTTCTGGATTCCGTTTATTTGACTTTTGAAATATCAAATATACACACCCTTACCTGGAAAGACTTCTAGTCCATTGTTGTTTTCTAACTTAATAACCAGAGTTCGAGCCGTAATGCTAAAAATTTGTCGAGGTGCAAAGTTCAAACCATCTGTAACCTGGAAACTGAAGCCTCCAGACATTGCTCCTAAACGAAGACAGATATAGCATTCCTTAAGGACCTCATTTACTCAGAAATGTTTTACAGTTTTAAGTTAGAAAGTAGGAAAAATAGGTAAAATTCTGTAAATCTGACTTCCAGACCATCCATTTTCCTACCATGACAATCATTACATCTTACTGTAGCAAATTTCATAGTTTAATTATTCCCTGTGAGAAAAACTGTTTCCTTTTCTCCCTTTTGATTTTTCCACCATTGAGCTTCATTAGATGATCCTATGTTCTGGTCTGCTTTCTCCATAGTATGTATTTACATGGCCCTATTCATGTTCTGATTACACTTTCCCAAGCTAAAGGGCTCCAACAAAAAAATCTGTTCTAGCCCCTCATCCTGTAATCTTCCCTGCAGTTGTTCCTGCCACCTGATTATTTTAGTTGCTTTTTTCCCTGTGTACTGTCAAGTCAATTCCAACTTATGGCGATCGTTTCCAGGATTTTCTAGCTAAAGAATACAGTGGTGCCCCGCTTAACGGCGATAATCCATTCCAGGAAAATTGCTGTTAAGCGAAAACACCATAAAGCGAAAATAAAAAGCTCATTGAAACGCATTGAAAACCTTTAAATGCATTCCAATGGGCTAAAAACTCACCATCCAGCGAAGATCAGCTGTTAAAAACCATTGTTTTGCGAAGAATTGATTCCTAAAGCAGGGAACCGATCATCGCAAAGCGAAAAAAAAACCTATTTAGGCCATCGTTTTGCAATCGAAAAAGCAATCGCAAAAACGTCATCATGAAGCAGATTCGTTGTAATGCGGGGTAATCGTAAAGCGGGGCGCAACTGTACACAGAAGTGATTTACCGCTCCCTTCTTATGGGAGCACCAGGGATAGTGCAGCTTGCCCAAGGCCACACAAGCTGGCTCTTCTCCCTTGGAGGCACAGTGGAGAAATTTCTAACTTCCAATTTCTAGCTCTGCAACCACAAACATACACCACTGAGCTAACCAGCCAGTCTTCCAGCTCTACAATGTCCTTTTTGATCAGATTTGCTCACAGTAGTCCAAATCTAATCACTTTAACAGCTTTCTTCTGTGCAGATCGTCTCACCTGGGGTAGGCGCAGTGAGAGTGAGTCAGGGAATCAGCATAGCGCTAATTGCTGAAACCTATGCCCCCATCCAAGTCTGATCTTCCTGCAGCAGTTTTTGAGAAACCAAAGTCAGAGGAGCTCGGTGTCATATCTAACTTGACCCTTAAACCAAGATCCTAAATAGAACTAAAACCCGGTAATTCTGGTGAGAATATTCCACGGAGAGAGGGACATACCACTATGGACAAAGACCAACTGTCCTCTATTGATATGCGCTTGGGTAAAGTTAAGGATGTTTTTGTTTGGAGAAGACTTGAGAGCCAAGTGACCATTATTGGGAGGCGAAACAGAATAGAAGAGCTTTTCAGGTGAGGAATCCTTATCTTCTGTACAGAGATCGTTTGTGGTTATTTCAGTGACAGAACCCACCCAGACCTTGAAGAAAAAAAATTAAAAAAAGGAAAAGGAAATATTACACCAAATGATTCTGCATATATGAAACCGGTAAATTATATACTGCAGATTTGCAAATAAAACAGGTGGATGAAGCAATTATTGATCACATGTATTTATTTAAAATATTTTTAGCCTGTCTTTCTTCTTAAAAGGACCCAAGACATTACATTTTAGAACAGGGGTAGATCAGAGAGCTAAAAGTAGGAGTCTGCGCAATTTACAGTAGATCCATAAGGGTTTTTTTCCCCACTTCTAGCTGTTTAACAACAGAATCAGCAATTTTTCTTCAGAAAAAAATGACCACTGAAATTAAGGTACTGAAAAGAACAAAGTTTGCGGTCGCCCGTTTTCTCACTAAAACAGACGACAGAATCCATTTCTGGTAATCGTCCTCCTCATCATGTGCTGTCAGATCAATTGTGTCTTATGGAAACCCTTTCCAGAGCTTTTGATGGACAGCAGTGGATCCCAACCTTGGAATCTTTGACTGCAACTCCCAGAAATCCTGACACAGTCTGTGGGATGCTGCGTATGAGCCTCAGTTTCACCCTTTATTGCTTGTGTTTTTGAACCACTGATCAGTCTCAGTTCAAGACTTCAATGCAACACTGCCATTATTGAGCAAATAGGCACTGAGATGAGACAGCTACGTACACGCCTCCCGAGTTAGTCACACAGAATGCCTTTAAAAGCATTCAGTTATTACTCCCATGCCAGTGTGTTGTCCTAACTGTGCAATTCTTGCTTATCCCATTTCCAAACCTCATTCTACCCCACGCACTTGTGCATTGCTTCCACACGTGAACACTCTTCATGAACAGAGCTATTGACAGAGTTTTGACATCTTTTTATATAATTATTTTTGCATGTCTACCATTCCAAATTTCACTCTACTCTTTTACTCATCCCTAAGTATCTAGTGAGGAGTAGTGGATAGAGTAATGGGCCAGGGCTCACAAGACCAAGGTTTCATTCCAATTCTGTCATGGAAACTCAGAGTTCATCTCATTACATTATTTTTGTCTTCTTCTTTCCAGTATTATAGAATCGTGGTCTCTTGAATGACTATTTCCCCTCCAGAAAAAGGTAAGAGAAAATGCCAAACGAAAAATAACTTCCATGTCCCCAATCACTGGACTAGCTGGCTTGGAGATGGTGACCCTCCAAGTGGATTCCATCAGCTAAGCCAGGATAGCTTGTGACAGAGGGATGAGGAGAGTTGTAATCCAAGAACAACTGGTCCCCAGTTTGTTTTAGAATAGCAAAAAAGAATGCCAAACATGTTGAAAACAAATCAGAAGAGAGTGGCCTGCTCTATAAATAACTAGGGGCAAATTCTATGCACAGCAGGAGAAAAACTAGCTGTGGAGAAAGGTTGTAAAATATTGTATTGAGTCTTTACAGTTTGAAAAACATGAACACAAAGGAGGAAGACTGTTCTGCTCTATCCATTCCCTCACAATAACAGGGGACCAGATCCAGGTAACATACCAGAACCCAATTTTGCTCTACTCCTCCTCAGATTTGCTCTTCCAATGCTAGACTGCTGGTGCAAGAAGCCTTGTTTGAACAACTCTTTGCATGAGAAGGCCAGCTAAAATGTTCCTTCGGGTTAAACTACACTTTGTGCTTTTTGCAAAGTGAGTAGCTACATCTTTTTATAGGGGACGGGCGGGTAGAATTCCTTCCTTTGGGCACAGTCTATCTTTCTTTATTTGTATCAAAGCACTGCACAATGTAAAATTATGGGCATTCATGAAATATAGGTAAAATTAAATATAAATTTAAATGTTGAGATAACTAGATTATTTTTGAGAAGAAAAGGCCTATTTCAATGGCTTTAACTTGATTATTTGATCTTCCTACTTCACTTTGAAGTCTATTAAGTGACAGTCAACTGAGCGTGGTGAGGGGAGGCTTATTGCTTTATTCTTCAGTCATATTATGACTGAAAAATACTCCTTCTGCCATGTAGCTCAGAGCCACGGAGGTGGGGAGAATCCTTTTATCTCTCGTGAATCTGCCACTTGCAAGTTCAATGGATTATCCTGGGTTTCAGTATTATGAGAGAGGGAGGAAAAACTCCTCCTTCTCTGCTTTTTCCGTATCTTGCTTAATTCTGCACACCTTTGCTGCACAGTGCGTGCAAAAGAAAAATCCCACCCCCAGCAATCTGCAGTTAATCTCCTTCTACAAGCCTGCAATCCAATTATCACAGCCAAACTACAGGCTATGCAATAAGTACAATATATAATTTAATTCTGAGATTACTTTTAAAAAAAGACGGGGGTGACTGTGGATGTATATAGTAGCAAAGAGGCATCAGAGGCAGTAGCTAATATAAGTTAGAGATTCTGATAGGATAAAATGCATTCATCATGCACACAAAGACACTTAAAATGAAGAAGTGTGTGAGAACAGCAAGGTGCCTCAGTCTTTTGTGGTATAATTCACACAACAGGAAGGAAATCAAAAGGGTTATCTGAAATTTAGCAACTTCGCAATACAGTGGGCCCTCGACTTACGAACGGCCCTAGTTGCGAATGTTTCGGGTTACGAACCCGATCTCATCACAAGTAGCAGACCCTACTTGCGAACGCAGATTGAGTTACAAACCCAAAAGGCAGGGAGAAAGGGCGGGAAGTTCACATTTCCTGCCCTTCCTCCCTGCCTTTGGAGCTTTCAAACCTCCGAAGCCAAAAAGGCCTTTGAAACCTCCGAAGCCAAAAAGGCAGGGAGAAAGGGCGGGAAGTTCGAATTTCCTTCCCTTCATCCCTGCCTTTGGAGCTTTCAAAGGGCTTCTTTCGACATCGGAGGAAGCCCTTTGAAACCTCCGAAGCCAAAAAGGCAGGGAGAAAGGGCGGGAAGTTCGAATTTCCTTCCCTTCATCCCTGCCTTTGGAGCTTTCAAAAGGCTTCCTCCGACATCGGAGGATGCCCTTTGAAACCTCCGAAGCCAAAAAGGAGGCAGCCCCGGCAGCACTGGATGAAAGGAGGGAGCCAAATTTTCCCCGGCGGCCCGGCTTGCTTCTCCCTCCTTTCACCCAATGCTGAGTCCACTTCGCACCGGGCTGAGCTCAGTCCCTGGCCCGGCACGAAGGGGACTCAGCAGCCACAGCAACATCGGGTGTAAAGCCTTGCTTCCCCAGCATCATGGAAGGACTTCGGCCGGAACGGATTAATTGTTTTCCAATGCATTCCTATGGGAAATGCTGGCTCAATTTATGAACTTTCCGATTTATGAACTGACTTCCGGAACGGATTAAGTTTGTAAATCGAGGGTTGACTGTAGTCTATTGAAAGGTATTTTCTAGCATTACCAACACTGATTTGAGCTCCAGAAGATAAATGTAGAAAAATTTTCTTTGTACAATGTGTGTAGAGTGACATACAACTTTCACATATGTAAGATAAACCTGAAGAACTGCTGATACCTCCGAAATTCTAGTTGCAGATCTTGGTCTTTTTACAACAAAGAGACAATCACAAAATTCAGGGTATGAAAATGTACAGGACTTACCCGGAGAATTTTGTTCCTCTTTATAATAGGAGCTTCATCGTTTACTGGTGTAATAGTCACAAATATTGTTTGAGGCAAACTCTGTTTCCACAGTTCTGTGCTGTTTGCCAGGATGGTGAAATTGTCAAGCAACTGTTCACTATCATCATGAATATAGAAGATTAATCCTTGTTCCAGCTCAAAAGGAAAAAATAGCCAAAATGAGAACTGTTGTGATACAAAGAGTAAAGATCACTGTGACTAATTCTTCAATAGCTATCATCAACCTCATCTTGTCACTCTTGTTCTGTTTCATTTACTTTATTATATTAAAAAAGGAAGTATTATTTTTTTAAAAAAATAGCTGTGTTCTCATAATTACCAACATATTACAGTGGTCCTCCGCTAGACGATTACCTCTCAAAATTGTTAATTCGCTAGACGATGAGTTTTTGTGATCACTATAGTGCTTCGCAAAACTGTGTTTCCTATGGGCGATTTTCACTGGACGATGTTTTGGACCGTGCTTCGGAAGACTGTTTTTTTTCGGGACCGATTTTCGCAAGACGACGATTTTGACAGCTGAGTCCGCAACTCGCAAAATGGGTGTTTTCGGGACCATTTTTCGCAAGACAGTGATTTTTACAGCTGATCCACGCTTCGCAAAATGGTTTCTCTATGGGCGATTTTCGCAAAACGACGACAATTTTTCCCCATTGGAACACATTAAACAGATTGCAATGCATTCCAATGGGGAACTGCATTCCGCAAGACGATGTTTTCACAAGACAGCGATTTTCGCTGAACGAATTAACCATCTTGCGGGGCACCACTGTATATTCAGTAGACCCCTGATTACTTTACATTATCCAACGTCCAAAGAATAATCAACATTCCACTTTTAAACCAAAATAAGATGAAATCGAAATTATGTCTAAAGAATCTCACCTGTTTCCTGGTAAATTTAGTAAGTGCTACTCCAGGAAAGTGAGAGGTTGAAATACGTCCATGTTTAGGTGGCTCAACTAAACTGAATTCACAATTGAGACCCGCAAAATGGCTATTACGAATTTTTAGAAAATCTTCCTCCAGAGCAATTGAACCACCTTCAGCAACTGTGAAGTTCTGTACTTCCAGTGGGATCAACTTTGGGATGATGTTTATTACAATTTGTATTCCTCTGACTGTCTGGATACCATTGGTTACATCCACGGAAAACTGGTCTTGGACCTGGCTGGAAGTGGTCTGTACATACTGGATATTACCATCATTGATATCTTGCTGAGTAAAAGACAAAACAGGATTTTCTTTTCTTTCAAGGTAGCTTTCCTCTGAGGCAAACCTCCGAAGGTAGCCATGTATTGGAGGCGACCTTAATTTGAACTCTATCTCTGATGGCAAACTGTTATCATGCACAACCTGAAGAAACAAATGTAAAATTCATTAAAGACACATGATAAATAGCATTGCTCCACTTTACTCTTTTTCAATTCAGGCTTTACTTGTTCACCTATACTACCACTGACTGAATGAGTCCCAGTTTCCTTTTTAGGAGGACTTGCTGGGACAGAGGCAGCAAAACAGACATTCCTGCCATTATAGAGATAATAGTTATCATATTTTCGGGAACTATTGTTGCTAAACTGCAGGTGTGCACAATTTGAACTGTTAGAGAATATGAATATATTGAGCATATACTGTATCTTTACCCAGACTTTATGTCATCTAGCTGATGCTATCATTCACTCTCATTTCTAAAAACTAATTTCTAAAAACTCTCATACTAGTAAGACTATGTAGCTTGTTCCTTGACAGCTTCAATAATGGCCCAACTTCATAGTCCGGCATATCAATAAAGATATTATATAGTTAATTAAAGTGGTAAATTTAACCAAAGCAAGAACGGAACACACACACACACAAAGAATACTAAAACATGTGATGTAAGTATCGGCATACTCAGGAGAACAAAAATCCTAAGGACAGAAAGGTATTTATAACAGCCGAAGGAGAACTGAATATGCTCAGAAGCTATAGCATGATTAGTGTCAATTTGAAAAGAAGATGGCAGGCCCTTCCAGCTTATAATATCAAGATCAAATTCTTGGATTTGATTTGGTAAGTTCTTGATTTGCAATCTTAAAAACCTTATATCGCATGGCTTCTGCCAAGACGACAAACTTAACATCGTCCATCCACTTTGGAATACTTCATCCTCTGCAGTATCAAAATATTAATCAATACAGTAGGACCGCAATATCAGCGGCGGACAGGTTCCAAGTTCCCCTCGCAGATGCTGAAAACTGCTGAAGTATTGAATGGAGATGAGCACGGAGTACTTCATTCTCTTTACCATAAGTTGTCTGTGTGGCAGCACAGCTACTGTGCATTCCCTTCCCCCTCCGCTCTGCCAGCTCACCCACTGACCTGCTGGTATGCACTGCTTCATCCCTCCCCATTTCACAATCTTTCAGTCCAGGCAGGAGCCCAGTCTTACCTTCTCCGCCTCCTCCATCAGCTGGCCGCTCAGACGAGAAGGTGTGGCCGGGATTCCGGCAGCACTGCTTTTGAGTGGAACAGCACATGCCAGCGGCTCAGTGGGTGAGCCAGCAGAGGGGAGAGGGAAAGGAAGACGACTTATGATGAAAGGGCACAACATACTTCTTGCCCATCTATAGAATCAAACACTATACACTGCACGGTCTCTTGCTCCCTCTGGTGGCCAGTTCTAGTAAACACACTCAGAAATACTTATTTCTGGGGTCTTTTATTTAGTATTTTCAGGCAGCAGATAAGTGAATCAGCGGATACTGATCCTGTGGATGGGCAGGGTCCTACTGTATTATCAAAGGATTTCTGATTAGTCACATTAATAAATACACATCCTAAGAGAGAAATGGGATCTTTCTGAGATCCAGAAGAGATTTGCCTGAAGTTTTCTCTGAGATTTCCCTGATGTGCTTTAAAATCCAGTCTCTCTCTCTCTCCCTCTCTCTCTCTCTCTCTCACACACACACACACCCACCCCAAATCACACACACACACACGCACACACACACCAAAGCTGGTGTAAAAAAGGGAGTGGGGTGGGCAGCTGCAGCCATAAACACTATTATAACCACATGCCATTGTGTTTGCCCTCTCAACAGGGATGATAAATCAGCATTTGGGAAAAAAGACGATGGTGGTGAGTGTAGAACTATCGAGACGTCTCCCGGCACCAGATCTTGGCTTGACGGGGAGAATATGTTATGCCAGTCTGGGAGGGTACACACATTAAAGAAAGGAAAACAGAGCCAAAATATACAGTATAGTTAAAACATATTAGACAATTCCAGCTTACCAGCAGTTTTTCTTTATTGATTTTAACTGGCTTTCCTTCTTCAACTAGTATGTTCCTATTATGTACAATCGCTGGCGGATGCTGATCACTTTCCAAATATACACGAACATTCATTCCGGCATTCAACTGGACACCTTTTGCGGAAACTGTAAAGTTAAATGCATCAACCAAATTGTTACTATCACTGTGCCTGTAAGTCACGTGACCCATTTTGAGATCATGCTGAGTGAAAGTGCCCAGCGCTAAATTATTTACAAAGACTTGTCCGTGCTTTGGAGACAAAAACATCTCAAATGTAATTTCATGATCGCTTCTAATGTCTTGGTTTGTGGTAGCACTCAGATTAGCTGTGGTGATTATCCCCTCTCTTCCTTTCTGGATCAATAACCCTGTATTGTTTGCTAGGCGGATGTAAGGGTCTGAAGCACTTACTTCTAGTAGTGACGAAGAATAGTGTTTCCCATCAGTTATGAACAGCACAAACCGGCCGTAGTCTGCTCCACGGTGTATGAACAGGACTCGCTTCTCTGCCATGTCAGCTTGGTTGAACTGATACAGTCTGTAAGAAGTTTCGTTGACAAGAACTAAATCTCCATTTGGGATGCCACGCCTGGTATACAACAACTGCATATCATCAAAATCGGTATCAGGATCATGATAACAAAGATCATTTAAGGTCAACAGTCTCCTTCCATTCCTAACAAGATGAAACACCTTATCTACCACACGTACTGGTTTCTCATCATTCTTCAGCAGGACAGAAACGTTAAACTTGATCTCTGCTGTTAAAGGGGATTCTGTTTCCACGTCAGACCTCATCCTTTCTCGAGATTTCATGGCAGTGACTGTGAAATCAATTTCATCAAATTGTGTCTCAGAGTCGTCATGTATATACATCAGACGTTTATCTATTATATCCTGATTTGAGAAACTAGTAAGATTATTGTTACTTGCTGGGGAATCAGAAAAATTAATAAGTGATAACTTTCCATGGCGAGGACTCTTTGTAACTTGATACCTGAAGACTTTACTATCAACAGTTTGTGCAAATAATTCCAATTCTGTTATCAGTTTTCCTTCACCCTCAGTAACAGTGAGGCCATTGTTTGTTAAAAGAATGCTTCGTGGGTCTGTTTTGATGTGGATTTTGAAATCATAACTCTCTGACACCACATATTTTGAAGAAATTAAGAACTGAAATGAATCCTGTGTTTCCCCATGGGGCCTACTGGTCAATTGATATTCTACTTTGTTATCAGAAATGTCCTGCTGACTGAAGATTGAATTTACTTGCAGAGTGGCATTATTAAGCAGAATGTTTCCTCTCTGGGGCAAGGACTGAAGTTTATAATACAATTCGTTTTCTGGTACATCTACATGTGTTATCGTAACAAGAAGATTACTAGAGTTAAGGTACTCACGTCTTGATTTATCGATTACTAATGACACAAGCTTTAGGAATTTATATCTCAACCACTTCACTGTGATAGGAAACAGAAGCTCATTGCTTAGCTTACTGCCAATGAGAACTTTAAATTTAAAATATTCAAGGATATTATCCAGCTGTATCTCTTTGAAAGTAGAAGCATATCTGATATGGTCACGTTGAATGGACCGCTGAGAAAAGGAGTTTGTTTTTTTCCATTCTCCATCCAGATGGCATCTCTGGATTTCTCCATAGTGGGGTGGCTCTGTGATCTCGTAACACACCTCCAGCTCTTGCTGAGCAGCATTTGTTTCGGTAGCCAAGTGACTGAGTGTGATCAAGGCCGTACTACCTTGAAGCACATTAAGTCCTGTGTTGTTGACCACTTTATATTCCAAAGGTACAGCCACCACACGCAGCACAACTGTGTTGCTGACTTTCTCCCCATCAGTAGCTCTCAGAACAATCCTGGAATTCTTAACTCCAGTGTGGACGAAGAAAACATGACCGTCTTGTAAGTCCTCATAAGAAAAGACAGTAACAGCTTTTCCAGGAGTCTTAGAATTTTCTATATACCCTGCATCTGCATTCAAATTACCAAGAACTGTAATATTGAGATGTGCAGCACTGGTATCACTGTCTGAAATACTGATTGAATCAATGCCCAGGCATCTCTTGGAGTGCTCTAAGAGAAGAAACAAGTTTCCATTTGGGAGTGTGATTTCTGGAGCATCATTTACTGGCCTTACCGTAATGGTAAACATGTATTCTTTCTTCCCCTGTAGATAGGGAGGCATTTCTTTTTTACTGCTTGTAGAAACAGAGAAAGTGAAATAATCATAGCTTTCCTCAGAACCATCGTGGATGTACAAGACTCTACCTTGCCACAGATCTAGCATCGTAAAGGTGGACTCTCCCTGTTCTGGTTCAACCTCCAACCTCAGACGGCCATGGGAAGGCTGGCTTCTAATTGTAAACACAATTTGTGACTGACGAATCCCTAGTTTCTTGAATTCCACATTGACTTTGATGTGCTTGGATTCAAGAGTCGCTTGCCCACCTTCTGGAACGATCAGATTGTTTAGGATTACAAAGTGCTCTCGGCTCTCTTTCCTGTAGAGGTTGGGGACTCCACCCCCAAGAGGAGAAGTGGGACTTTTTAATCCCACAGATTGCTTTTCAGGTCCTAGGGTAGGGTTTGTACTCAAGTCACCGTCAGTTTTGCACCCGACTGAAATATCCTTACTCACAAGAGCATTCTTCACAGAATTCCTTTCTAGGTCAATCTTCAAATCTTTCATGCAGCCTTTGAATGATCCTCCGTGAGCATTCTTCCCAGAAACTGAGGCTAACCCTAGTTTCAGCACTTCTGCCCGGAGGGCATCATTTACTCCACCTATATAAAGGGCTCTGTCAAGAACAGGAAAGAGACTCTGTGGCAGCAGTGATGTTTTAACTGTTTCTTTTCCTACTGTGAGCTCAATTTGGTTTGCAGAAAACTTCAGTCTGATAGAGTGCCACTGGTTATTGTTGACAGGGCTGAGAGAGGAAAGATGAAACCTCCTCTTACCCTTTCCAACGTGAGCTTTAATAAGACTGTGTTCAAGTTCCATTGCAACAAAATCTCCACCCACACCAGAACTGTAGACCAGCAAGCCTCTTTGAGCTGTGGTCTGCACGGTGTAATCCAAGACTGCCCCGGCCTGAATATTCCACAGGGGAAAAGAAACATAGGACTTGGAGCTAAAGAAACTAATGGCTTCCTCTTCACCTGCAAAAAATTCATCACTGCAGCTCAGTGACACTTCGTGAATATTTTTAAGTTTTGAAGAAGGTCTCAGGGATGTTAAAAGGTCATGGTCATTAAACAGCACATCACGGATGCATCCTCGGAAATTTATCCATGCATCATCAATGTAAGGAGCCTCAAGGTTGCCAGTTCCACCAACAAAAAGTCCATGTTCCATGTTTAGTTGAGACGAAACATCTGGCAGCTTTGTACTTGCTTGATAGTTTTTGTCTATCAGCAGAGTAATATTATCTTGTTCATGATGGATTTCTACAAGATGCCAAGTTAAATCATTTATGCGTGAGACCAACTGGGAATGGAGGACATGCTCGCCTGTTCCAAGATTGATTCTCACCTGCAACAAGAGATACAGTTTGAATCATCTAAGTGAGCCAAGAAATAAAGCAACAGCAAGGCAATTAAATATAGAACATGAACAAAATATTTTCTCCCATCAATGAATCTGAGAACAGGAGAAAGCTAAAATAAAAGATGCCACAGAATTTTTAAGATGAATGTGAATGAAATATGTGCCTAGTTCTAGTGTAAGTTTAGTGTAATGAAAGCAAGGAAGTGTCGGCCTTGTGTGTCTCAAAGCTGTTCTCCTCCCTTGCAGATGAGAGGAAGTGTAAAGCTTTCTCTCTTAGACCTCAATAAACCAGTTTCCTATACAGAAGCATGGAAGCTAGATTATTCTAAATGTGCATATTTCAGACTAACTGAGATTAAACCATAGTTTCTGGATCTGGTTACCAACTATCACAGTTATGCTAAACTATAGGACCTTACTTCAGAGATGCTGGGAAACAATGTTTCCTTCAAAACCAAAGAAAAGCTATCAAAAACGAATAAGTAATTTATGAAAAATGTTAATTCCTTCGATACTTTAGAAAAATATATAACTATTTCACAACAACCAATAAAAATAGTAATACAGAAATAATAAAGCAAGGGTCAAGTTGCAGTTGTTGGAGTTTTAGACTAAGTCACCGGGGCAAAAACTACAGCTTAAAATAATATGTGTAGGATGCACCTCTTATTCTCAAAATCTAAGTTTGAGAATAAGTGTAATTTCATCAATGCTTTATTATTTACATATATGTATTTATGATTACAATGCTATTTGATTACATAGCACTTCATTCTTGACATACCAACCACAGGTACTAGCATAAGTAAAACACAACTTTCAGTATTCTTTCATATAATTTTTTAAAAGTAATACTTTTTAATGCAGTAGTACTCAGATAATATACTAATTGCCTTATTAGGTATAAGGAGAATTTGTTAATTTGTATAATTGGTAACCTTACATGTATATTCCCAGAATGCAACTCCACCGAAAAATAAGCTTCTCTTCCTGCAGCAAGAAAAAGTAATCCATCTGGTCTACTTGTTAGAAAGCAGAATTTCAGTGTGGTTGTAGAAGATGATGCAGGAACATTTAATTGCACATAGCTTTCTCCAAAAAATGACACTAGAAAGCAATGAACACAGTAAGTTATTGTACACCTGCAAAGGACAATGATTTCCTATTGTCATGTGTTCATAGTACATCTAACAATAAGTATGTGCTTAATTCATTTCCCTCCCAGTATATAATTTTATGGCTTCAGCAAGATTTATTATGAGATTTAAAATATAATCAGTGCATTCAAAGTGCTGGTCAATATTTTAAAAGTTCTAACAGATTATGGACCATGGCATTCAAAGGACTGCCTTCTGCTGCATGACATGTCTGCCATGGTGATTTGTTTCATATTCCACCATCATCAGAGACATAAATAGTGGAGTCAAAAGGTAGGAGCTTTTTAGTTCTATCAACCACACCTAGAAATTCCTTAACCTAGATACCTAGCATGGCCTTCAGTTACTAAGATGCCACAAACAACTGTTTGAAACATGTTATTTCATTTTGCCTTTTTACAAGAAAGCTCTGATATATTTTTTTCATCATGGTTTGTTGTTCTGATTGTTCTTCTTTGTTGTTTAAATTCTATTTTAAATATATACATATGGAAGATTCTTTGTAACTCTGAAGTGTTTTTATTTAATTGAAATATACTTGCTTTATGTTGCCGATCGTCTTGGAAGTCTTTTGTTAGAAATGTGAGTAACAAATCTAGATATACGTAAAAATGTAAATAAAATATCCAGTTTCTCATATAATTATAGAAAATAACAATAATTGTATACTGTCAGGTCAATTCTGACTTAAAATGGCCCCTTTTAGGGTTTTCTAGGTTGACAGTACATACTCAGAAGTGGCTTACCATGCCTTTCTTCTAGGGGATTCCTGGGGCTGTGCAGCTTGCCCAGGGCCACCCAGGCTGGCTCTTTTGGGATGTACAGTGTGGAACTGAATTCCCAATCTCTGGCTCTGCAGCCAAATACCTAACTTGATGAGTTGTCCAAACATTAGCACAAAGATAGCATTTGGCAAAACTCATTTTATGAGTGTACTAAAAACGGAATGCTTTTTGTGTGTGTGTCTTACAAGCAATTTTGTCTGTGATCACCTGAACAAGCCTGCATGTCTGAGCTTGAAGGGCTCTGATCAAGACAACAGGCTCAAGAGATGATACAGGGGTTGGGAGTGAGTGGCATAGCTCACTAGCAGAGCAAAAACTCTGCATGAAATATGTCCCAGATTCAATACACAGCATCTCCAGACAAATTAGGAAAGGAACCTGCCTGCCAAACTGTAGAGCTGCTGTCAGGTGTAAGAAACTATATTGAGCTGGAAGAACCAATGGTCTGACTCAGTATAAAGCAGCTTCCTGTACTTCTAGGTGCTCAATTTCCTAGGCACAAACTGCGGTAAGCTAGATACATTTATTTAAAAAGAGCATTATAAGGAGGATCTGGTAGTTTTTCCTAGACTATTCCACATCAAAATGCAGACAAATGCTCCAGCACATTAAAAACAAACTATCAACACAAAGACTGAGCATGTTAAGAAGAAGGCTGAGTTAGGATCCTTTTTCTTATCATGCTAAGTAAGTTCCCATTCGTGCATTCCACCAGCTTAGTTGTGAAGCGCCTGAGTCGTTCTTGTCTCTTGTTTTAATGTGGACACAATCAGATCCTCAAAACCAGGGGTCAGTAACTCCTGGTCCACAGCCTGGCGCTGGTCCGTGGGCTTGCCGGAACTGGGCTGCAGATATGGATCTCCACCCCACTGCACACACGTGTGGGGGGTGCATCATGCTCACACAGTGGGTGTGTTGCACCTGCGGTGGGTGTGTCACACTCAATCCCCCCAGCTCGTTCGCGGCCCCAAAAAGGTTGGGGACCGCTGCTGTAAACCTCTGTGGAGGATGAAGGAGAAGGCATGAGATACAGTATATCACAGAAGTGAGTACACCCCCTCACATTTCATAAATATTTTAGTATATCATTTCATGTGATAAGACTGAAGAAATGACACTTGGATACGATGTAAAGCAGTGAGTATACAGCCTGTATAATCTTGTAAATGCACTGTCCCCTCAAAATAATGCAACACATAGTTATTAATGTCTAAACTGCTGGCAACAAAAGTAAGTACACCTGTAAGTGACAATGACCAAACTGGGCTCAAATAGCCATTTTCCCTCCTGGAAGGACAGATCCTGAAGCTGAGGCTCCAATACTTTGGCCATATCATGAGAAGACTCCCTGGAAAAGACCCTGATGTTGGGAAAGTGTGAAGGCAAGAGGAGAAGGGGACGACAGAGGATAAGATGGTTGGACAGTGTCACTGAAGCTACCAACATGAACTTGACCCAACTCCGGGAGGCAGTGGAAGACAGGAGGGCCTGGCATGCTCTGGTCCATGGGTCACAAAGAGTCAGACACAATTTAACGACTAAACAACAACAACAAGCCATTTTCCCTCCCTGGTGTCATGAGACCGTTAGTGTCACAAGTGTGAAGGGGGAGCAGGTCTTATCGCTCTCACTCTCTCAGACTGGTCACTGGAAGTTCCAAATGGCACCTCATGGTAACGAACTATCTCAGGATCGGGAAAAACAAACTGTTGGTCTACATTAAGATGGCCTAGGCTATAAGAAGATTGCCCAAACCCT